AAATTTTAGTTTTTCCTGATAAAGTTATGATGCATTCTTAAAAAAATCGGTATAACTCAAAAATAAAATAGCTCACTTATACAGACACCTGATAACTTAGGTTAACATTTTTGTAATGGCGTACCTGTCACGAGTCAGTTCTAAAACAGAAGAGACAAAGTTCGATACTATATCAAGATACTTAAGTATCAGTATGTATTTTTTTTCTGATATTGTAAAAAAAAAAGTTACATAATATAGAGATGATTCAGCAGTAAGCTTGAGGGCTTATAACTCTAAAATATGAGGTTCGAACCCTGTGGTGGTCTCAGCACAGACTGCTCATTGTACAGCTTTGCACTTGCGCTTAAGATACTAGCAAATATATGAAATATATAACATAAAAAATCCTCTAATGATAAAACGTGTTGCCAATAACTATCGCGTTGGAATGTTTCTGCACTTTCTTGCTGCAGTTTAAAAACACTGATATATTATTTTATTATTCTATTACATGATACAACTGACATCAGCACTTTTTTTGTACTAAACAAACATAGGATGTAATAAATTGAAGACAATTAAGGTATAGCGTACATTAATTTATTATATTGGGCAGAAACAGTATAAATATAATTATAATCCAGCTGAAATATTATTCTGAACTATTCAGGCATGGGACTTCAAGCTGACGATATTTGAATTAAATATGATACGATAGATTTACTTCTAAGAACCATGCTTATTCCAGGATAAAAGAAAACAATATACTGTGTTCTGTTTAGTTATACAAGTCTGTGATAGAGAAACTGTAAAATAATTTCGACGTACTTATTAGAAAAAAACAGGGAGAGATTCTATAAAAGTTATAGTTCCGACTTAGCCGAGAGGTGTGGCCTCGTACACTAGGACCGTGAAGCCACCTTCGAGCTAAGTGCGAAGTTCGTTCATTCAGGTCTAGGCGCGAAGAATGACGACCTAGTTACGGTTCTCCGAGACGTCTCCTTTCACTTTCTCGGTATCACTGGGTACCTAACCTACTTCACTCTTAACACTCACACTATCTGCGTTTCTATTATTCTGTTTGTGTTTTGATGCGTGGAAGAAACGCGAATGGACCAAAGAACCACGCCTCTCACGGCGCGCACACATATATATAAGACCGGACCGTGAAAAGCTCCAAGCAAACCACTGGTGTAACAGAAAAATATATAGTTTAGTTCAAACAGTTATCCAATATCTTCTCTAGCGCAATGATGAAGGCCGTGGTAAGTTTTAGCTTGCAGAGGGATATAAAGAACTTTAATATATTCTGTTGCAGTTAACGAACGAATAACAAACGACATTCTTTGTTATACAGAATAATTTTTCATTGTCCGCTGTGGTATGGGAATGAAGATATTGTCCCCATCTATTCGGAAGTCCTATTATTACAAAGTGTATATATATATATATATATATATGTATATATTATTTTTCAGAAATTTAAGCCAGTTTTATAACTAGATTGGTATTGTATATGCATATAGGTTCGTCTTAGCTAAATAGTAAAAGTGTTTTTTTTGTTTGTTTTTATCCAGTTCGTTTCTGTGCTCCTTCTGTTGGTTGCTACATCCGTCATGGCAGGCTATCTAGGTTACGGAGGAGGATATGGTGGTTACGGAGGCTATGGTGGCTATGGCGGACTCGGATACGGAGGCTATGGTGGCTATGGCGGACGCGGATACGGAGGCTATGGAGGTTATGGTGGACGCGGGTACGGAGGCTATGGTGGCTATGGAGGTTATGGTGGACGCGGGTACGGAGGCTATGGTGGCTATGGAGGTTATGGTGGACGCGGGTATGGAGGCTATGGTGGCTATGGAGGTTATGGTGGACGCGGGTATGGAGGATACGGTGGCTATGGCGGATACGGAGGTGGACGTGGTTATGGAGGATATGGTGGTGGCTATGGCTACCATTAAGAGAACATTATACCTTTCCGGTATTAAAAAAAAAACGTGTAGCATGTTAAGATTAATATTAAATTTCAACTTTTTTACCCAGTTTTCTTTACAATGGTTTTTCTTAACAATTTTTTTTGTATAAAATGTAACATCGCCTTTGTTTATAAAGGACAATAGAATCACTTTCAAATATGATTTTCTTGCTTTGAAAACTATAGGTGTAATTTCCCGTAAAAATATAGAAGAGGTAGCACTCAAAATGGAAATAAAATTGAACAAAAATAGATGGATATACATCCAACGTTATAAAAATATCATGCTGTTGGACTAACACTATTTTCACGTGTTATATACATACATAAATATAATTTGTTCACTTTATTTAGTTCGTCAGCTTCGAGAAATTCCCCGATCTCACAAGTACTGGGCCCAAATTCGTTTACTTACTACTGACTGTTTAACTAATTTCTGAGACAAACATACAACACAGCCGTAACTAATATTCAATGCTAGTCTGCTACACTAGAGTTATTGATAATTATATTTGTGATAAACAGTAATATCTATGAAAGTTGCACCTGTAAGCATGGGCGTCCGCAGAAATTTTTCCAGAGACGGGCAAAGTTATCCAGGGGGGAGCAAAGTAGTGTAAAATTGTGAGTTGAATAAAAAAATCCATATACATATGCTGAATGAATAAAGAAAGAATTATGTTTCTCATTTTCCGGGGGGGGGGGACAAGTGCTCCCTCCTCTGCGGACGTCATCCCTTAATTTTTTTTCTCTTTGTGACGTTCTATATAGTGTGATGGTCAACAAGCAGGGGAAATCTCTTTGTATCGTACTAGCTGTTTCCACAGGAAACAAACCCAAAATATCAATAAACTGAACGTCAAATACATTTTCAGCAATTGTTTCAACAGAGGTTTATGGCATAAAAACTAAATAAATCGTGTTTTAGTTGTATGTCTTGAAAAATCAGAATAGAAAACCATGATCGATATCCTAATGAAACGCCAGAAATTCCCGCGCCTATAGACCCGATCCTCGAATATTCTAGCACCTAGTGACGCCTCTGCATTGGAAAGACAGAGAAAATGTGTTGTAAGTTACGTTTTGTTCTGACATCACTTAATACAAAATTAGATTTTGAAAAATATACCCTAATAGGCATCGTTTCTTTACCATATAATACAGATACACACGCTTGCTTCTGCCTGGTCACTAAAGGCGCTATTTTCTTTTATTTAATTACTTCTGTTTTTAAAGAATTAATAGTGTATAACATGCTAACTCGCCAATTTTTTTCGAGATAATAAATATTTATGATTTAAGAGTAGTTTAATAAGTCACCAGATCTTTCACAAATGACTCTTATTTGATCATTAGCTTAAAATTAATTTGTCAAATCCTTCCCAAGATACTTTTTGACTTTAAGCTAACTTGCCAGATCTGATTTTTGCTAATTTAGGATTATTTTACGATAACTCAATGGCCCCCCAATGGCACAGCGGTATGTCTGCGGACTTACGACGCTAGAATCCGGGTTTCGATACCAGTGGTTGTTAGAGCACAGAGAGCCGATTGTGTAGCTTTGTGCTTAATTATAAACAAACAAACAAACGATAACTCAATAAATTCTGTTTGAACTATTTTTATTTATCTGATCTTCTTCGAGACACCTCATAATCTGGTAGGTATAGCGCTCGACTCGCAAGCTGAGAGTCGCGGGTTCAGATCTCGTGTAGCTTTGCACGAAATTTAAAACAAACAAATCATCCCCACACAGAGAGTTTGTTTGTTTGTTTTGAATTTCGCGCAAAGCTACACGAGGGCTATCTGCGCTAGCCGTCCCTAATTTAGCAGTGTAAGACTAGAGGGAAGACAGCTAGTCATCACCACCCATCGCCAACTCTTGGGCTACTCTTTTACCAACGAATAGTGGGATTGACCATCACATTATAACGCCCCCACGGCTGAAAGGGCGAGCATGTTTGGTGTGACCGGGATTCGAACCCGCGACCTGCAGATTGCGAGTCGAGCGCCCTAACTACCTGGCCATGCCAGGCTATTCAGAGAGAGAGACAACGAAAGGGCAACACATACTCCATCAACAAGCAAGTAAACGACTGAATTAAATATATCACACTACAACTTGAAAATAAACTTAAATACAATTCAAAATAGACAACTAAGTAAATATAAATGCTTAATATAAACCATGGAAAACAAAATCACGGTGAAATAAACAAACTGCAAATATACCTGTAAATTACAAAGAAGAATTATAAAGTTAACAAAACCAAGCACAAAATTAAATAGAAAAAAATGTCAATAATACAGAAAACAAAGAAAATTAAATGAAGGCATATCGAAAATAAGTTAAAAACTAAAATACATCTAGAATAGGCCAAAATATAACTCAAAATGGTTATATTGTAAATTGTAAAACAAAGAAAATTAAATGAAGGCATATCGAAAATAAGTTAAAAACTAAAATACATTTAAAATAGGCCAAAATATAACACAAAATGGTTATATTGTAAATTGTAAAACAAAGAAAATTAAATGAAGGCATATCGAAAATAAGCTAAAAACTGAAATACATTTAGAATAGGTCAAAATATAACTCAAAATGGTTATATTGTAAATTGTAAAACAAAGAAAATTAAATGAAGGCATATCGAAAATAAGCTAAAAACTAAAATACATTTAAAATAGGCCAAAATATAACTCAAAATGGTTATATTGTAAATTGTAAAACAAAATCATTTATATATGTATATATATTCATATCAGTACATATAAAAGAAAAGAACAAAACCATCATCAAATTTTACATAAAACTAAATCCAAGAATTAAAAATCAAACGTCGAACTTACAATAGAACAAAATAAAACAATATAATAATAATATTTATAATGTGCCTCTAAATATATGACATAAGACTATTGAAGTCTTCCACGGACTGTCACTTCTAAGCAGTGATCTTATGGAAGACTCTAATATGAATGCCTTTCTGGGGGCATATTACCTTCTTCTTGAGTTGATTATTTTCTTTTTGTAAGTTCCGGGGCCTGACATGGCCTGGTGGTTAGGGTGCTCGATTTGCAGTTTGCGGGTCATTAGTTCGAATACCGTCATCGAACAAGCTCGCTCTTTGAGCCGTGGAAAAGTTATAAGGCGATAGTCAATCTCTCTTTTCATTGGTAAAATAGTAGCCCAAGTGTGGGTGGCCTTCTCTATCTACTCTACCACTTCTAAATTAAGGATGGCTAGTGCAAGTAACTTACGAGTAGCTTTGCGCGAAATTTAGCAAACAAACATGTAAGTTACGATTTTCTTTCATGAGATGATGCTTCAAATCTCAACAGTCCCAGAATCAAACTGCTTCTTTTTGCATCATAACTCAAACCTTTGTCCATTCTGTAAATTTGGTCTATTAATGGTGGCACCAACGATCAAGAGCCGCTAAGCTGTTGTAGGAGGTCTTGAGGCAGATGGTGTGGCGGTGGCTGGGTTTCTGGATGACTTCTTTTGCTTTCTCTTCTGTCGGAGTCAAGGAAGAAAGGTTTGCTTTGGGATTACAAATTGTATATGTCCCAATAACGTGAAGTCGATGTAGTGCATCCTTTACGAGGACAAGTGTACTGCTGTTTCCTTCTTCTGGGCTTGTTGTGTTGTACAGTCACTATTGAAATGCTTTGTAGATGGTCCTGGTATTGTAGATGAATGTCATGATGCTCCTGGACCACTTGTTTCCGGTATGGGGTTGATCTCTCTGTAAATTCCGGAAGCTCTACCTCCATCGGTTTGGAGGCACACTGGTCTGCATCGTGTTGGGCATCACTGATTGATCGCTCAATCTTTCTAATTCAGTTAGCAGCATCGCATCTTTTATTATGATAGTATCTCCTTCAGGTACAGTTTTCACTCTTTTCAAAACAACTTAACTAGTGAACAAGAATCATGTTTTTTATGGCAAAAGTCAGAAGCTAAAACTCATGGTCAACTGAACCTGTGTTAGGACAGAAGTTTAGCCAGAAATGTAAGGTTAATACTGTTACGCCTCCGCTCGTTAGTTAATTTTCCGTAAAAATTCTTTCTGAAGAAACTTTAGCGATACAAATCCTTTCTTAAATAAAACTGGTTTATTCTTTCTGAATACAACTTTGCAATACACTTAATTTCCACAGTCGC